ATTAGGAGTTACGGGATACAATTTAGCCCAAATCCGTGGCTCACGTCCGGCGCAATTAGTAGTCCGGATTTTTCCTATAGAAAACCGGCCTTCAAAATTCGTCCCGTCACTGAAGAAAGCGTGATACTGAAGTACATGTTTTAAATAAGCAAATCGTGAGAGCAAGCGGCTCGATCCTGTACGTACCGAAAACCCTCAAGCATACAATTCCCAGTCGTACTCGATGGCCACCAGGAGTCCAAGACTCCTGGTCGCTCAGCGATGGTAGCCCGTTCTTCTGCGTCTATGTGCCAGGACCGCTTGATACTACGTGCAGCTACGAGCTGAGTAGCGGTGTGTCCTTGTAGATTAATATATGGCGCAGACTGAGGCGTGATTTCTTAGTGAAGCTTTGTTTTATGCCAGGTCGACGTAAGGACTACGATTCGTAGTACGAAGGGCTAAATACCGGCATCGATAAGGCCGTTGAAATGCATAATCACAAAAAAGTCGTAAGCTTGTAGAATTATTCTTACCGGTAAGCCGGTTTAGTAGACCGTCTACCGGCACAATTTGCTTCGACAAGGCTCAGTTGCAACACAGACGAAGGCTGTAACGCTTTCGTATACTATTACGAGCGGGGTCCTGCACTTGAAGAAATATGAAGAAGGGTATCCGTGTCATCCTTTTCGCTGTGGTACTCGTGATCGCCAATGCTGCCTCTAACGTCGCACAGCAAAAACTCACCGGTGTATCTACAGCGATTTGTTGTTTCAACGTTTACGAACAAAAGTGCGTGTTATTATCATTTGCAGGTTGCTCGTAGACAAGATTTATCGGCTTTCAAAGCCCGCACAACAAACGTGAATGGAACCGTAGTTGCCTCATCAACTTGTTGGCATTATCCACTACAGTACTCGAGCTATAAAATCAACAATTCACTTCATGGAGTCTAAAAAATGCGGCAGCTGTCCGAACCGATTAACACTAAATAAACTTTTTACTTACGAGCTAGTGGAGTCGAAGCTACGGTTACCGCTAAAATCAGCACCAATGACACACTCGGACGACACTCGAGTATGCTCAAGCACGTTCGATACGTCCTTCAGACTGCCGAGCACCTCATAGAGAGGCGTCGCCAAGTCGATGCTCACCTCCAGACGTGAGACGCGCTCGCTGTCTTCGTCAAATAGGAAACTCAAAGAGCAGTCGCACTCCAGACGCTGACCCAAAAGACGCTGGAAGAGGAGCACGCGGTCCTCTCCACCCGCGGGCTCTTCCAAGTGAGGAAACGCATGCCGAAGCGTGAGCTCGGTCACCGTCACACTGAGCTTTGCTCGGGCAGCCATGACACCTGGAGCTACCGACTCAATCCGCTGGAGCTTCAGGTGGGGCTGTCCAAAGTACTGCGAGAACAGCAGCAGCTGCTCCATCAGCGCGTCGACACCTCGCAGCTCTCCCATGGCCGCGTCGTGGGCGAACGCTCGCTCCAGGATGGCCAAGATCTGGCGCGTCTCCGAGTGGTTCTGCATCTCCCGAGTGCTGGCCACACGCCAGGGCGAGCGGAAACTGGTCTCCAGCAGTCGGAAGACCTCAGCCACGATACTCCACGGGCTCTGGTTGCTCCTCTCGAGAGAGGCCAAGTCCCGGTATCGACGCTTTAGAGTGTCCAGCTCTGTGCGCAGTTGCTCGACACTCCGCTCGAGTTGCAGCTGGGCGTTCCTCTGCTTGTCTCGGTATCGCGCCTGGTTGGCCCGACATTGTTCTCTACGACGGGACTTGTTGGCGTCCTCCCGTTTGCGCTTATGTGTCTCTTTGAGTCTGGTTGGGCTTTGGTCCATCGTTATCTTCGGCTTTCTACTCGACTCTCTAGTTAAAGACAGAAGCGTGTTTGAGGCCTCACCCTTGGCTCGTAGTTCATCGCGCATCGGCGGGCAATCAACTTCTGGCTTCCCAGCTCTCTGGTACGTATCGTACGGACTCACTGCAGCTTCGAAAGGTGTCGTGAGCCCCACTACACCGGCGTGGTAACGGCCTCGTGGACGCACGAAGCTCGTGAGGCTCTCGCTCAGTGGTCTTGGGGCAAAAGGGTGGCTGTTCATCGAGTCTTGGAGGCGCCTTGTGATCCAGCGAGCAAATTTCGATCTGAAGTATCACGTGGCGTTGAGATTGAGCTGGGTCGTTAGGAATCCCTGAAGGCGTGAGCTCAGGGCTAATAATTCTTGCAATCAGCTTGCAGTCTCTACCGGGAAGAACCGGTAAATATTCGTATTAATGGTTTAGTCCTGGCTGTTTACCGACCGCCACTAAACGTGACCAAGCGAGGCTACTTGCTTGGTACAGCGTGCAGAATGTTTATCTACAGCTGTAACTAAACATACCACCGTTGAATGTGTACAGCGGTGTATGTACAACACTCTATCATGTCGCCCCAGCTGCCTTCTAACTAGAAGACTTCTAGTAAAAGCATTCTCTAAGAAGTTCCTAACGTTGGAGGCTGCTTTTCTTCGCTGCAATGCAAAACTTGGTTGCAAACTGCAACGCAAACCTACATGTATTATTATAATAAGGCCTCATGCCAAGTACAGTTGCTGGCTGACCACAAAATACGAGGCGAGTGGAATCAGCTCGGGAGGCTGGGGGAGAGCTCGATTGGCGTTCGTAATCGTCTTGGAGGTGCAATCGTCAACTGCCCACCAATCGACAGAGTTACGTATACCAAAGTATACGCACCGATTTAATAAATCGTACGGGCGCGTTACTGGTATAAAGTAGCATCAAAGACTTCAGCAGGGACGTGTGCATTCGAGTTTTCTTCGAGTTACTTTAAGCAGGTGGGGTTGCCAGTTATTAATACTGTAGTGCATCGTGAATGGCGCGTATTATTGATAATAGGTTTTGTACGTTACTGCGGTTTTGCGGTAAAGTAAGGTCCGTTCAGCGTTGTTTGTGTTATGGCGCGTTAACGCGGTGCCGCTCGTAAACTGTGACAGAACATGCCAAACACATGTATTTACTGTTTCAGCACACAGCAAATCATTTGACTTGACTTCTGTATACTTTTGACCTTCTTAGTGTCGCAATAAGACATAATCGACGATTAGAGGTCACAGCAGAAAAGGGACCAGCCGCGCTGGGCGCCCCTTTGGCGCCCCCGCGGTTCGCTGCGCTCGCAATATGGAGAGATAATGTTCTGGAAAGTGTAGTGCTCGGCTCGCTGGTGAGCTCAGCGCTGGGCCCGCCTCCGCAAATACCGCGCGGGTTTGCTGCGGCTATGGCACCCACGTCGCCCAGCCCCGTGTGTGTTATCCCAGCGATGGACGTGTGTTTCTCCTATTTTCTCGTAAACCAATCTCTTTGGAATATTTTGAACCGGTTTACCGGTCGCCGATGGCTAAATTTCGATGTCAGTCAGTTTTAGACAGCCCGCAAAGTCCATGGTGCAGCGTTACAAAGCTGTTTTGCAACCTGAAAAGCTCGTTTCGGTCTGAGTGGAACAGGACTAGCGTCGGAGAGCATACAACGATACCGATGTCTGCATGTGCGCCTACGATACCTCTTCGAAAGAGAGAGATACAGTTTCTTCCCGGTCACCTTGTCATGATCACGAAAATTCCGACCAGCACAACAATGCATAAACTCGTTTTGATATCTTTCGTACTTTCGCTTCGTATTGACCGGCCACGAATTCAATGTTGTATGTATTGTCGCTCTCTCGCTTTCGTCGATCTCAAAATGCACAGTGAAATCATGTCCTGCTTGAGCTGGTGTCAATGCTGATGCAGCGGCAGCACACGAGCGAATCAATATTTCCGAATTCCGGGCCATTTCTGTCTATGATCTGTGGCTGAGCTGGTGTTTCTCGAATTGATAATAAAAATGAATATTTAAATTAGGTCTAAGAAATTAACCGTGACTCGGGTCAGGACCGCTACAACAGACTGCCTGGTACAATACTTATCGAGCTGATATTTGGATAATAGGTTAGCTGCTAAAAACTGTAATGTGCTGTCTACTTCGAGACACAACAAGTTCTGCTTTGAAAATATGACTTCATTTTAGCGAAATTGCCTTTAGAAATTAGTAAGAGTGCAAATCAATTGACTCTTACCCAGATCAAATCACTTCGACAAAAAACGTTTAGCCAAAAGAAAATTAGAGCAAACCAAATTGTGACCTCTAATTGGCTAAAATATCTGGCACGAAACTGACTAAGAAATCACGCCTCATTCTGCGCTACTCCAAGGACGCACCGCTACTCAATTCGTAACTGCATGTAGTATCAAGCGGTCGACGCTACGTCAGACCTGACACATAGACGCAGAAGAACTGGCTACCATTGCTGAGCAACCAGGAGTCCTGGACTTCAGCACGACTGGGAATTGTATGCTTGAGGAATACGGTACGATTTCGGCATCGCAACCAGCGGTTGTTGACGAGCTGCTTGTTTTCACGATTTGCTTCTTTAAAACATGTACTTCAGTAAAGCGCTTTCTTCAGTGACGGGACGAATTTTGAAGGCCGGTTTTCTATAGAAATCTTTGGAACTAACTGCGCCGGACGTGAGCCACGGATTAGTCACGATGGGCTTAATTGCAGCCCGTACACCTCCTAATGTGATCCAGGCTCTGAACCACACTGTATTCATACATGTACCTTACATTGTAAGGTGCTGTGCCAGTTAGGTGCACTCGTTTGTTTTTTTGCCAGGTCGACGGTAAGGGTTAAATACCGGTATCGACAAGGCCGCTGAAATGCAAAATCACAAAAAGTCGTTTGCATGTTTTTTAAAGTACTGTTGAATAAAAATTTAACCGGGCTACCGGCTCAAAACTCACCGGATGTATCTACTGCGATTTGTTGTTTCCTGTGCCACAACGTTTACGAACAAAAGTGCATGTTACTATCATTAGACAAGATTTATCGACTTTCGAAGCCCGCACAACAAACGTGAATTTGCCTCATCATCTTGTTGGCATTATCCACTACAGTACTCGAGCTATAAAATCAACAATTCACTTCATGGAGTCTAAAAAATGCGGCAGCTGTCTGTACCGATTAACACTAAATAAACTTTTTACTTACGAGCTAGTGGAGTCGAAGCTACGGTTACCGCTAAAATCAGCACCAATGACACACTCGGACGACACTCGAGCATGCTCAAGCACGTTCAATACGTCCTTCAGACTGCCGAGCACCTCATAGAGAGGCGTCGCCAAGTCGATGCTCACCTCCAGACGTGAGACGCGCTCGCTGTCTTCGTCAAATAGGAAACTCAAAGAGCAGTCGCACTCCAGACGCTGACCCAAAAGACGCTGGAAGAGGAGCACGCGGTCCTCTCCACCCGCGGGCTCTTCCAAGTGAGGAAACGCATGCCGAAGCGTGAGCTCGGTCACCGTCACACTGAGCTTTGCTCGGGCAGCCATGACACCTGGAGCTACCGACTCAATCCGCTGGAGCTTCAGGTGGGGCTGTCCAAAGTACTGCGAGAACAGCAGCAGCTGCTCCATCAGCGCGTCGACACCTCGCAGCTCTCCCATGGCCGCGTCGTGGGCGAACGCTCGCTCCAGGATGGCCAAGATCTGGCGCGTCTCCGAGTGGCTCCGCATCTCCCGAGTGCTGGCCACACGCCAGGGGGAGCGGAAACTGGTCTCCAGCAGTCGGAAGACCTCAGCCACAATACTCCACGGGCTCTGGTTGCTCCTCTCGAGAGAGGCCAAGTCCCGGTATCGACGCTTTAGAGTGACCAGCTCTGTGTGCAGTTGCTCGACACTCCGCTCGAGTTGCAGCTGGGCGTTCCTCTGCTTGTCTCGGTATCGCGCCTGGTTGGCCCGACATTGTTCTCTACGACGGGACTTGTTGGCGTCCTCCCGTTTGCGCTTATGTGTCTCTTTGAGTCTGGTTGGGCTTTGGTCCATCGTTATCTTCGGCTTTCTACTCGACTCTCTAGTTAAAGACAGAAGCGTGTTTGAGGCCTCACCCTTGGCTCGTAGTTCATCGCGCATCGGCGGGCAATCAACTTCTGGCTTCCCAGCTCTCTGGTACGTATCGTACGGACTCACTGCGGCTTCGAAAGGTGTCGTGAGCCCCACTACACCGGCGTGGTAACGGCCTCGTGGACGCACGAAGCTCGTGAGGCTCTCGCTCAGTGGTCTTGGGGCAAAAGGGTGGCTGTTCATCGAGTCTTGGAGGCGCCTTGTGATCCAGCGAGCAAATTTCGATCTGAAGTATCACGTGGCGTTGAGATTGAGCTGGGTCGTTAGGAATCCCTGAAGGCGTGAGCTCAGGGCTAATAATTCTTGCAATCAGCTTGCAGTCTCTACCGGGAAGAACCGGTAAATATTCGTATTAATGGTTTAGTCCTGGCTGTTTACCGACCGCCACCATTGTGACTAAACGTGACCAAGCGAGGCTACTTGCTTGGTACAGGGTGCAGAATGTTTATCTACAGCTGTAACTAAACATACCACCGTTGAATGTGTACAACGGTGTATGTACAACACTCTATCATGTCGCCCCAGCTGCCTTCTAACTAGAAGACTTCTAGTAAAAGCATTCTCTAAGAAGTTCCTAACGTTGGAGGCTGCTTTTCTTCGCTGCAATGCAAAACTTGGTTGCAAACTGCAACGCAAACCTACATGTATTATTATAATAAGGCCTAATGCCAAGTACAGTTGCTGGCTGACCACAAAATACGAGGCGAGTGGAATCAGCTCGGGAGGCTGGGGGAGAGCTCGATTGGCGTTCGTAATCGTCTTGGAGGTGCAATCGTCAACTGCCCACCAATCGACAGAGTTACGTATACCAAAGTATACGCACCGATTTAATAAATCGTACGGGCGCGTTACTGGTATAAAGTAGCATCAAAGACTTCAGCAGGGACGTGTGCATTCGAGTTTTCTTCGAGTTACTTTAAGCAGGTGGGGTTGCCAGTTATTAATACTGTAGTGCATCGTGAATGGCGCGTATTATTGATAATAGGTTTTGTACGTTACTGCGGTTTTGCGGTAAAGTAAGGTCCGTTCAGCGTTGTTTGTGTTATGTCGTAAACTGTTCAATGCACAATCTTTGGAATATTTTGACCCGGTTTACCGGTCGCCGATGGCTAAATTTCGATGTCGGTCAGTTTTAGACAGCCCGCAAAGTCCATGGTGCAGCGTTACAAAGCTGTTTTGCAACCTGAAAAGCTCGTTTCGGTCTGAGTGGAACAGGACTAGCGCCGGAGAGCATACAACGATACCGATGTCTGGATACAGTTTCTTCCCGGTCACCTTGTCATGATCACGAAAATTCCGACCAGCACAACAATGCATAAACTCGTGTTGATATCTTTCGTACTTTCGCTTCGTATTGACCGGCCACGAATTCAATGTTGTATGTATTGTCGCTCTCTCGCTTTCGTCGATCTCAAAGTGCACAGTGAAATCATGTCCTGCTTGAGCTGGTGTCAATGCTGATGCAGCGGCAGCACACGAGCGAACCGATATTTCCGATTTCCGGGCCATTTCTGTCTATGATCTGTGGCTGAGCTGGTGTTTCTCGAATTGATACTAAAAATATATATTTAAATTAGGTCTAAAAAATTAACAGTGACTCGGGTCAGGACCGCTACAACAGACTGCCTGGTACAATACTTATGCTAATATTTGGATAATAGGTTAGCTGCTAAAAACTGTAATGTGCTGTCTACTTCGAGACACAACAAGTTCTGCTTTGAAAATATGACTTCATTTTAGCGAAATTGCCTCTTTTCGTTTAGAAATTAGTAAGAGTGCAAATCAATTGACTCTTACCCAGATCAAATCACTTCGACAAAAAACGTTTAGCCAAAAGAAAATTAGAGCAAACCAAATTGTGATCTCTAATTGGCTAAAATATCTGGCACGAAACTGACTAAGAAATCACGCCTCATTCTGCGCTACTCCAAGGACGCACCGCTACTCAATTCGTAACTGCATGTAGTATCAAGCGGTCGACGCTACGTCAGACCTGACACATAGACGCAGAAGAACTGGCTACCATTGCTGAGCAACCAGGAGTCCTGGACTTCAGCACGACTGGGAATTGTATGCTTGAGGAATACGGTACGATTTCGGCATCGCAACCAGCGGTTGTTGACGAGCTGCTTGTTTTCACGATTTGCTTCTTTAAAACATGTACTTCAGTAAAGCGCTTTCTTCAGTGACGGGACGAATTTTGAAGGCCGGTTTTCTATAGAAATCTTTGGAACTAACTGCGCCGGACGTGAGCCACGGATTAGTCACGATGGGCTTAATTGCAGCCCGTACACCTCCTAATGTGATCCAGGCTCTGAACCACACTGTATTCATACATGTACCTTACATTGTAAGGTGCTGTGCCAGTTAGGTGCACTCGTTTGTTTTTTTGCCAGGTCGACGGTAAGGGTTAAATACCGGTATCGACAAGGCCGCTGAAATGCAAAATCACAAAAAGTCGTTGCATGTTTTAAAAGTACTGTTGAATAAAATTTTAACCGGTCTACCGACTCAAACTCACCGGATGTATCTACTGCGATTTGTTGTTTCCTGTGCCACAACGTTTACGAACAAAAGTGCATGTTACTATCATTAGACAAGATTTATCGACTTTCGAAGCCCGCACAACAAACGTGAATTTGCCTCATCAACTTGTTGGCATTATCCACTACAGTACTCGAGCTATAAAATCAACAATTCACTTCATGGAGTCTAAAAAATGCGGCAGCTGTCTGTACCGATTAACACTAAATGAAATCTTTACGAGCTAGTGGAGTCGAAGCTACGGTTACCGCTAAAATCAGCACCAATGACACACTCGGACGACACTCGAGTATGCTCAAGCACGTTCGATACGTCCTTCAGACTGCCGAGCACCTCATAGAGAGGCGTCGCCAAGTCGATGCTCACCTCCAGACGTGCGACGCGCTCGCTGTCTTCGTCAAATAGGAAACTCAAAGAGCAGTCGCACTCCAGACGCTGACCCAAAAGACGCTGGAAGAGGAGCACGCGGTCCTCTCCACCCGCCAAGTGAGGAAACGCATGCCGAAGCGTGAGCTCGGTCACCGTCACACTGAGCTTTGCTCGGGCAGCCATGACACCTGGAGCTACCGACTCAATCCGCTGGAGCTTCAGGTGGGGCTGTCCAAAGTACTGCGAGAACAGCAGCAGCTGCTCCATCAGCGCGTCGACACCTCGCAGCTCTCCCATGGCCGCGTCGTGGGCGAACGCTCGCTCCAGGATGGCCAAGATCTGGCGCGTCTCCGAGTGGTTCCGCATCTCCCGAGTGCTGGCCACACGCCAGGGCGAGCGGAAACTGGTCTCCAGCAGTCGGAAGACCTCAGCCACAATACTCCACGGGCTCTGGTTGCTCCTCTCGAGAGAGGCCAAGTCCCGGTATCGACGCTTTAGAGTGACCAGCTCTGTGTGCAGTTGCTCGACACTCCGCTCGAGTTGCAGCTGGGCGTTCCTCTGCTTGTCTCGGTATCGCGCCTGGTTGGCCCGACATTGTTCTCTACGACGGGACTTGTTGGCGTCCTCCCGTTTGCGCTTATGTGTCTCTTTGAGTCTGGTTGGGCTTTGGTCCATCGTTATCTTCGGCTTTCTACTCGACTCACTAGATAGACACAGAAGCGAGTTTGAGGCCTCACCCTTGGCTCGAAGTTCGTCGCGCATCGGCGGGAGATCAACTTCTGGCTTCCCAGCTCTCTGGTACGTATCGTACGGACTCACTGCGGCTTCGAAAGGTGTCGTGAGCCCCACTACACCGGCGTGGTAACGGCCTCGTGGACGCACGAAGCTCGTGAGGCTCTCGCTCAGTGGTCTTGGGGCAAAAGGGTGGCTGTTCATCGAGTCTTGGAGGCGCCTTGTGATCCAGCGAGCAAATTTCGATCTGAAGTATCACGTGGCGTTGAGATTGAGCTGGGTCGTTAGGAATCCCTGAAGGCGTGAGCTCAGGGCTAATAATTCTTGCAATCAGCTTGCAGTCTCTACCGGGAAGAACCGGTAAATATTCGTATTAATGGTTTAGTCCTGGCTGTTTACCGACCGCCACCATTGTGACTAAACGTGACCAAGCGAGGCTACTTGCTTGGTACAGGGTGCAGAATGTTTATCTACAGCTGTAACTAAACATACCACCGTTGAATGTGTACAACGGTGTATGTACAACACTCTATCATGTCGCCCCAGCTGCCTTCTAGCTAGAAGACTTCTAGTAAAAGCATTCTCTAAGAAGTTTCTAACGTTGGAGGCTGCTTTTCTTCGCTGCAATGCAAAACTTGGTTGCAAACTGCAACGCAAACCTACATGTATTAATTATAATAAGGCCTCATGCCAAGTACAGTTGCTGGCTGACCACAAAATACGAGGCGAGTGGAATCAGCTCGGGAGGCTGGGGGAGAGCTCGATTGGCGTTCGTAATCGTCTTGGAGGTGCAATCGTCAACTGCCCACCAATCGACAGAGTTACGTATACCAAAGTATACGCACCGATTTAATAAGTCGTACGGGCGCGTTACTGGTATAAAGTAGCATCAAAGACTTCAGCAGGGACGTGTGCATTCGAGTTTTCTTCGAGTTACTTTAAGCAGGTGGGGTTGCCAGTTATTAATACTGTAGTGCATCGTGAATGGCGCGTATTATTGATAATAGGTTTTGTACGTTACTGCGGTTTTGCGGTAAAGTAAGGTCCGTTCACGCGTTGTTTGTGTTATGGCGCGTTGACTGACTAAGAAATCACGCCTCATTCTGCGCTACTCCAAGGACGCACCGCTACTCAATTCGTAACTGCATGTAGTATCAAGCGGTCGACGCTACGTCAGACCTGACACATAGACGCAGAAGAACTGGCTACCATTGCTGAGCAACCAGGAGTCCTGGACTTCAGAATACGGTACGATTTCGGCATCGCAACCAGCGGTTGTTGACGAGCTGCTTGTTTTCACGATTTGCTTCTTTAAAACATGTACTTCAGTAAAGCGCTTTCTTCAGTGACGGGACGAATTTTGAAGGCCGGTTTTCTATAGAAATCTTTGGAACTAACTGCGCCGGACGTGAGCCACGGATTAGTCACGATGGGCTTAATTGCAGCCCGTACACCTCCTAATGTGATCCAGGCTCTGAATCACACTGTATTCATACATGTACCTTACATTGTAAGGTGCTGTGCCAGTTAGGTGCACTCGTTTGTTTTTTTGCCAGGTCGACGGTAA